TGGTATCTTGCAATTAGACCCTAATCTGTTGACAAACTGGACCTGAATTGTGAAATACAAAATAATGAAATAATGAATTGTGAAATACGCCTCGTTTTAAAATATTTCCTTTGATGGGGATAGCAGTTGTACTGTTAGGTTGATCTTTTGCGCTTTGAGGTTTAAATAATTTTCCACTATTTATTCTTTATAATTTGATAACTTTTTGAGACTTCCTTAAATGTCCTATGCATAAACTGATCTTGTTTGTCATGTATCTGAGCAGAGCCGAGAAAAATCCATTTTTTTGAAAAATTAATCAAGCATCCCTTGTATTTTTGAGAACTTGCTTGCTTCCTTCTGTTATAATTCCTCCAAGCTTCTTCGCAAATAGGGACCTCCATTTCCTGAGATGATCTTTGATTATTTTTTCTTGGGGACATCAACAGATGCCTCTGGCACATAAAAGTGATGCACCATTCACAGAAATGCTGCAGAAAGCACTAGAACAACGTTGGGGTGTTGGAACAAGTCACTAGCATGAGATTTTATTTGAACCTCTTCCCTCAGCACCTTGAAAATTAAGTACTGTACAGTACTATATACAAGGGATGCTTGCATGTTACATGTACCTTTGCCATTGTTGAATGGTCAAAATTATACTGAAGTAATGCTAACAAAGTTCTGTGTTATTTGATAATTTATTGCCCACTTGTTCACATGTTGATCACCTAATTTGAAATGAAGAGAAGATAAAAAGAAGTTCTCTGAATAATGAATGTGGAGAAAAGTGTTCCCTTGACCCATTTCTACTGAAAATGAACTTTTAGGTGATTAAATAACATCCGTGACAATGTCTGAATTGTTTCTGAATAATTTTGTGCTTACATTCTTGAATGCGAAGGTTGCCTAGGAATAGAAATTTGTGAGAAGAAAAGGACTGTACCAGAAAGGCGAAAATCAAGAAAATTCCCGAAAAGGGATCATAGGATTGTTTTAGGAAGTCTTGTTAATTACACAGCAGCAATCGAGAGGATTTTGATTTATGAATTAGGAAGCCAAAAGATTTCATGAGGCTGAAGACACGTAGGAACCATCAGCTATTACTTCGTCTTGATCTCAGTGTCCAGTGTATCCGTAGTTTTCTTTTCGATCTAAAAAAAAAAAAGATAAGCCTCTATAAAAAATGGAATTTTATTTTGAGGAATAAGATAATGCTGCGTATGATGTTCAGCCCTGCGACAGTTCCATAATCCACCCGATCGGATCAATGTGGAGCTTTCGAATTGTGTCAACTCGGTCAACCTTTCGCCTCGTTTGAATGCAGTTCATCCTGGGTTGTATGGAAAGATGTCTACCTTAGACTTGTTCCCTATGCAAACAATGGATTGACTCCACTTCGAGAAAGGGGAATCATGAATATTATTTGTGATCCAATCTCTTTGTCGGCTCGCGACTGTTCGGTTATTTCGCCAGATTTACTCGTTTCTTGCGGGTTATGCTGAATTAAATGATCACCGTGTATCCAAGAAAACAAGTAACTTTTATTTTTCATTTTCACGGAATCAATAACAACGCTGATGATTCGAAAGGATCATCAAAAAATAATAATAACGCGACGCTCATGAGCATTTTTTTTTGTAACAAAATATTGAATAAACATCAACGAATCGAGCTTATCTTCCTCCCCCTTTATCGCCAGACTGCAACAATAAAACAAAAAAGACAAATTCAACGGACCATCGCAACAACGAAACAAAAATCAGCTGAATAAATACATCCCTA